GCCGCTTGAGTTTGATTCCTGGCCACAGCTAACAATGGCAGGTGATATTCCAAGTGGCTGGCCAACATGGTGAATGAATTATGGTTCGTGACATTTTACTGAGTGTTAAGCGTTCCAAGAGCATCCCGATTGGGAAAGTGGGTCAAATGCTTATTGTTACCTTTGTAGATAACATAAAGTCACGTTCTTTCTACGTGACTTTAGCGAAAGAACCAACGTGCAATTCCTGCAGTCACGAAAGCTTCAAATCAAGTTGGATGATGTTACTAGTACAACACACCGATGTGCTGTACTGGTAATGAATTGGCGTGTTCTGTTTACGTGACAAACCTTACTAATTGGCTGTGTCGGGTGGTGGGGGGTTTGACGACACATTTATATTTACGCAATCTAACCTCCAAAACAACTCTGTGATGAATAGTTGAGGTATGTATGCAAACCTTACCCTTTTATTTTTTGTCCAATGTCCATTCCAGACAGCCATTTGAAAATTGTATGACAGTGCGAAACCTCGTTTTTCCTCCTAATTGGTTAATTGGGTAGCAGGGTTGTGCAGTGGTAACACTTATGCCTTACAACGAGAAGGACCTGGGTTCGATTCTCAACTCATGTGTTCCTATGTTCTCCCCCTTTTCTGCTTGGGTTTCCTCCAGTTTTTCTGGTCTCCTCACAAACAACATCCATAATTGGTATTTGCCAACATATCCAAAATGCTGGCAAAATCACCTGCGACATTCCTCAATTTAGATGACACACAGCAGCAACATCGCCCCATCCTGCTGAAGCCTGGCAGGACCTTCCTGAAAAATAGTCTTGAGGCCCATGTGAAGATGTCCTGGATGTGTGTAACGTCCACAGAGGAGCATGCCAGGCCAACACGCGCGCAAGCCAGCCATAATTCCTTGCACGGGACCAGCTTTTAATTCATAATTTAAATGTTGACTTTAAAAGTTTTGTAGATCATTTCCACAGTAAGCAACGGCGAGGGCAATGCAAACATGCCTATGTTTGGGGGGGGGGGGGGGGTGCAAGGCCACAACCACCACAAGTCCACTCTCGCCGCGCCTCTATTTTGGGCAGCGCATTCTGAGTCCTTGCAAGGAAGGCTGGTGGGAGGGAAAATGGAAAAAAATGTTATTTTAGTCAGCAAGACCTCTGAACCGCCTTTGGCGTTGAAGTCAGCTTGTATACATGCTGAGTCCAGCACCTCCACGAGCCCCCCCCCCCCGCGCGTGTGTGTTATCACACGTGTGTGTGTAATAACGTGTGTGTGTAATCACACGTGTGTGTGTGTGTGTGTAATCACACGTGTGTGTGTAATAACGTGTGTGTGTAATCACACGTGTGTGTGTAATCACGAGCCCTGGTCATTTTCTCACGAAGGTCGCGTTTCGGCTATGAAGCCGTCAGTCCGCAGCATTAGCTGTCGTTTTAATACGAAAAAATGTTTATCCTTGTGTGACCGGATAAATCCTATTCGTGCTTGGCACGTTGAACCGCATTTCCCGATTTGTGGCGTTATCAGATGGAGCTGGGGCAGCGTGACTGACAGAGGGTTGCGAGTTCAAATCGAATCACAGTAAGGGGTTTACTCAGCCCACAAAACTGGTGGGGTCAATGAAATTAGTTCCACTTTGTGGGACATCCACAGTGGTTAAAGAGAGAGACTCGCGCCACCCATATGAATGTGACCTCATTGTAGTTATTCATTGGCCACGTTTACACGGCAAGTGTTGGTCCAATAAATGATATCCGGTTAAACAAATGAAAGTGCAACTAACTCGGTGAAACGGGATTAATTCACTTCCCTTATACGTTTTGCGTGAATTTACGAGATATGCTATAGTTGGTTTAATTTTTTTACGCAAATCAACGTCGTCCTCATGCGCACGCATTTAATGTAAACCGGCTTCTGCGCATAAAAATTGTCCACATATCAATATATCCATGATCAGATATCATTATATGACTCAAGAAAGCAGATGGGAATCCTAACATTACATATTATGAGCCTGGTACCTGCAGTGTTGAGGTCAGAGGCAGCGGTACATGGTTAACACAGCGACCCAAGTTTGATTCACGCATACGGCTAATAATATCAGAAGCAGTTCTGATCAACAAACTCCCGTGATCAACATGGCATGGGGAGGCATTCGCCCTATTGGTTGATTGAAAACGTCTGGAATGTACATTATTATATATCATTAAATACAGTACCGGGGACCAGTAGATGTTTAGTCTGCGAGAGGAATGCAAACGCAATTCGTCTGACCCTTTCAGGGTTTTTACTGAAGCCTTGGAATCTCAACATCGTCATTTGAACCTTACGGCAGTACGCCGGGGTGCCACAGTAGCCCGGCTCTCGCATAATGTCCGTGATGCAGTCATTTTTAGTCTGTTGATGGTCGGCGATGCGGCAATCGACTCATCTCGACGAGCTGTACACGGTGCTTCACCATTTTGGCGAATTTCCCGATAATGCTGGATGTAATTACCAGCGTAACGTCGTACTCAAAAACTGTAAATGTTGTGGATTCACTCTTCAACACACCGGTGGCCTAAAGTAGTGAACTATTTGTCTTTTGTCAACGTGACACTTTTTTGCTGATTGGCCGTGTCGGGTGGTGGAGGGTTATGGCACATTTATAAGTAACGCGATCTAATCCAAAAAACGTTTATTATGCACTATTCAAAGTTGAATTTTTCGATAACGGATTTTGTCTGCTAATGTTTGGCGTTTTGACATCGTGGAGTAGCACTGGTTTAGGGTTGATTGGTACCCCAGTCGCGGAGTTAAGTTCACCCCTGGAAAAAATAGTGTCCCAGAAATAAAATATTTAATTGCCTCGGCCATTTTGTATTATTTGGTACTTCGGGGTACCGCCATGAAGATCATTTGCCCGTGTGTTGTTCTCAAACTGTAAAACAAAAATGGGCTCAATTTGTTTTATAGCTATAGGCCAGTGGTTCTTAACCTTTACTGTAGCCTTGCACCCTTTTGCTTCTCAATCGTTAAATATATGATAATGTTAATAAATACATAGGGTTTGATAAAACAAAGTAGTTGTACTTACGTGCCCGTGCTTAATTTGTCTTTTCAATTATTTACCTTCTAAAAAAGAATCTGGCCATGTCTCGCTACCCCCGAAAGGGCATCTCACACCCCCAGGGGGAGTATTGAGACGACGCAGCGACAATATCAATATTGAAAATTACAAGTTTCATAAACATAGCATCTAAAACCAGATGTGTTTATAAGAAATTTACGAGCTACATTCATCGTATACTTTATATATATACATTGTTGAGGTTATTTTTCACTTTCATAAGATGATGTGTGAATATTCAGAAACAAATGCATGTTAACAAAATGTAACGTGTGGAAAATTTACTCCAGATTGTTATAAATGTATTTACCCACATATTCTAATTGTCCTTTTTAAATGTAAACATATGTTACTGAGTTATTTTTAATCGTATTGTTTTAGTTTACAGCAACATACTTCAAACCTTTTTAAACCTTTAAAAGTCACGTCAAATATCAACAACTGACTTGTTTACTGTACCCATTGGCCTGAGACGATCATAAACGCAATGTGAACAAAGCCACAACCGTGGGCAGTTTTCTTCTCCTCCTGCCATTTTAACAATTCGGTTTCTTCAAAGAGAAAACGCTCTCAGGCGGTGGCCATTTTGAGGATGGCCCTCGGGGTCATATCGACGACGTTCGAGAGTCACGTCAAGGGCGGCTCGTAATTGTGGGTGGGCCACCTTGAGAGATGTTACGCGGGCCATGGGGTAATTTTGAGGCATGTAATATCATTCGTCGTGGCTTTGGAGGTAACGGCACCTCTGATTTCTGTTTCTCAATTGTGGTAGGGGAAAAAAGTATGTGTTTTTGTAGCGCGATAGGATTTAATTAAGGGCCTCGAAGTGCAGCAGTTTTTAGAGGTCGGCCATATTTGCAAAAAGAATAAGTATTAAAAGTCATGTGATACTGCCTCTGTTATTTCCGGAATATTCCGTATTGGCATATTGTAAGCCAAGGGAAATAGAGCCACAGAAATAAAGCACAGCGATGGCATCGCTCACAGTAAATATAAACAGATGGAAAATAGTGTTGCATGTTGAGAGACAAAAGCTTTTGAGATCTCTCATTGCTGTGGTTTTTTGAGCAACCCACATCATCAACGACCATTCTCTCAACACTCTCAGTTTTGAAATAAGACGCTTAAACAACGAAGTTGCGTACGGTTGGTGAGATAATTCAATTCAATGGCTCATACAAGAAACTCACCCTTCTGGTCCCTGCGGATAGCGAAGTGTGCGATTCCTCACGATAGAAAACAACCCCCGCTCCCCCTAATTCTGTGCAGGGATTGACAGAATCAAAATTCAGCACCACAATGTTCATGTTACACTTTGCATTGTCAACTTGAAATGAAGCGCTAAATGCATGCAAAAATAATTGTGATTTGAATGTAAAAATTTCCCGCTGACGTTTCACAAGACCAATTGTTATTGGGATGACCGTTCACCCAGAAAGTGCCCGATCTCATCCAGATCTCGAAGAAAGTGAGCACAGCTGAGCCTGCATAGTGCCTGGATAGTTGACCACAATGCATAGCAGGTGTTGTGGGCAGCAATTGGGCAATGCAGCAAAATGCATTGTTACATGTTACTTCTATGTCCCCACGTCTGTGCTCTGCCTTCACAAACCCACAATGAACATTGCGGCGAAGTATGGCCAAACAACCCCCATCACCTGCATGACATGGGGAGGCCTTCATTCAGCAGTGGATTTACAAAGGGCTACACTACCGGTTTCTCAATATCCATTGAAGTTAGGCCAACAATTCAACTGACGTGTTCAAACTGTTATTTTAATGTCATGTTCAAACTCTTCATTTGCTGTCAGTGACAATTAAAAAAAAAAGCCTTTGTTGTTAATTTTCATTGAACCCGTGGTGCAATGTCCTTCCCTTTGGCTGGCCCTGCAGGTCACGCTGCTGGAGGAGCCAGGAGAGAAGGAGGACTCCGAGGTGCCGCCCGGGCAGGGCCACATGGCCCCGAGCACCCCACACTACACGGACGAGGTGGAGATGAATCAGGTGGCGGGCGTTGAGAGCGGCCCGCCCGGGGTGCCAGTGCCCAGACAACCTCTCACCCCCAGCGCCCACGAGACCTCCGCCAAGCCAGATGAAGGTATGGCGGAACTGGGCAGAGGCGTGAGGAGATTTTTCCCCGAGAAGCATCTCCTGCGCGCTCCGGCGAGCGTCGGCCGATGCTGCTCGTCGTCGCATTTGGTGGTGCTCAATCAGTGCTGGCAGTTCCACAGGTGTAGGAATAAATCTTGACTTATAGCTTTCGTGACTGCAGGAATTCATACTCTTTGGGTCTTTCGGTAAAGTCACGTAGATAGAAAAATAATAAAATAATTATAAGTCACAACATTTAGCCTGTTAATGTAAAGGCATTTAACAAGGTAATTTAACTCAGAGAGTTGGAAATAACTGCTAACATAGGCAGGTAGGATGGAAGCATCACAGCCAGTTAAGACTTTACCCGGTGAATAACGTCCTTCCAATGATTGCTCAGTTTGTACCCATCTTCTCGGTTGAAATTGTGTCTGTGTATACGGGTGGCTTCATGAACGAATCTTTGTTGATAGCCAGTGGGTTTGCAAAGTACCTTCGTCTTAGAGAAATCAATTTCGTGTGAGCCCACCATATTGAAACAATGATCAGCCACGGCCGAGGTATTGGTCCTATCGTGTTTCAGATCTGCCTTGTGTTCACGAACACGATCCGAGACATGTCGCTTAGTTTCCCAAATGTAACTACTTCCGCAGACTTAGCTTTGTTTGTAGACGCCGGGGTATTGCATGTCAGGGATCACATCCTTCACAGATGTGATCAGATCACGAATTTTATGTACTGTGTTAAATCGAACCTGGATCTTGTGTTTGCTCATGATTTTGGAAATATTTTGGTGACCCCTGTTATGTATGGCAAGGTGATGGTTTTGATTGGGTCCTCAGATGGTTATTTCTCAACGGATTGTGTAGTCTGAATATCCATTCATCTTGAGGGCTTGATGTACGTGCTCCAGTTCACTGGCTCAGTGGTGATGGTCGGAAATGCAACGAGCCCTATGGTGTAGAGTTTTGATGAGGGAATTCTTCTGGGCTGGATGGTGGTAGGAGTCAAGTTTCAGATAGACATCCGTGTGGGTGGTTTTTCTGTAGACGGTGTCCCAATGAGCCATCTGGTCTCTTTTCGATTAAAACATCCAAGAATGTTAACTTGCCATCTTTTTCCACCTCTATGGTGAATTTTATGGCTGGGTGTATGGAATTGACGTAGTTGGCAGGCCATGTGGCCAGATGACGAACGTGTCATCTACGTATCTCTTCCACAAGGAAGGACGTAGGATGGCTGTCTGGATGGCATCTGTCTCAAATTTTTCCATGAAAACATTAGGTGTGGGAATAATGAATTGTCACAAATTGGGCTCATGGTTCAGATACGCTCCTGTGACCGTCTGGAACGCTATGCACTTGTAAACGTAAATTGAAAACTAATTTCTTTAGAACCGCTTTGTTGTGTTTAGTTTGTTGTCCTTCTTACCGCACCTCCGATTAGCACGATTGGCTACGTACGGTGCGAAAGAAGTTCAACATACTTACATACATGGTTCGATCTGAGAATGAATATCAATAATATTATTTTTTAAACCTCATTATTATTATTTATTTTTGTCAATTAATTAATTATCTAAGGGAGGAATTGATACATTATTTGCATATACTGTGCTTTAATTGTAAAGAATAAATAATATTCTACATGCACGCTTTGTTGTGCGTGTATCACGAGTGGTATGATTAAATGAGGGGACGTCGAAATCACTGCAGGCCTGACAAATGTGCCTCGTGATTTACCTCAAATACTGCGGATTGGTCAATCGGTTTCGCAAGTATGAAGGGACACATGAACCCATTACCCGCAACCGGAACTCACAGCCTTTCACGTTGTGGGACAGGTGGTTCCTGGATGGGGCCTGTGTAGGGAGGTCTGAACGTTCATGTTCAGACCTCCCCATAGACTTTGAGGGCCTCGAGTGATCTTCACTCATTTTTAGAGGGGGAGGACACTTTTTGCCGATAAGACATCATCAGTGTGAGGACCGCCACACATTTTAAACCATTGGGGTTTGACAGCAGCACGATGGGGGTGTTCTCACATTTGTGTATTGTCGGGGACCACACATCAGGGCCCGCACTCAAGTAAACTAAACTATAAAACTAAACTATTGTTAATTTTGCCAGGTAAAGCCCACTTAGCTATATAGATTTTTTTCAGAAGTTACCTGACCACAAATGATAGCCCAATGAAGTAGCTTATTAAGTGGAAATGTAGAGCTGCCGAATACTAAAAACACGTGTTGTTGATTCTAAATGTGGAGGGAAAAACTGGAGGACCCGGAGACAAATCCACGCGATCATAGGGAGAATACATGAACTCCAAATATATAGGTGTCAGCGTTGGGATCGAACCCTGTATTCTAGGCAAAGTAGTTAACAAGGCCCGTGGGCATTATGATGATGAACACTGGGTTAAGGGAAAAAGACTGCGGCAAAATACAAAGTCGTTTCAAAGGAACATAAAATACATTGTTACATTTTTAAACACATGGACATGATATTAACAAGAGATGATGCCAATTATTTTTGTTCACGTAGAAATAAGGAGAAAGGCTTTGAAATTCATATCGAACAACAACAACGGTACATTTGCATTATTGACGAACATAAATGTGAACTATTGGTGTGTAGTGTATGTAAGTGGTGTATGTAATGTTTTACAGCAGCCAGATATAATGGAGCACTTTGGATAATGCCTTGCACATGTACAGTACCAAGACCCAGCTCCAAATAACCTTCAACATTCTGAATGGGATCACAACGCATTTGTTGTAAAGGTTCCTCTACATATACTTGTACATTTTCACGTAATTTTTGTTCCACACATTCACACAAACAAAATAGATGTCACAGAGATCCGGGCCTTTAACAGACTGTTGGGGCAAGTGCTGTTAGCGAGCACCCATGAAGGCCAACACAGCATTAGAGGGGGTGGGTGGTCAGCTCCCCGCCCAGCTGCCTTTGTCTCCCCAATGCATGTTTACTACAAAACGCACCAAATACTTTTTCGAGGCTGAACCGACCTAGGGGAGGCCGAGGATTGGTTCAAATAGTCGTCGTTGATCTTGGCTGTTAGCAGGCATCGAACTCGGGTCGCCACTGATCACTACACTCCTCAGTCCCCACACTCCCCTCCTTTGTGACACATGCAGAAATGCAAACGTACATACATAAATATATATTACATCCATTAGCTCTGTATCGATTCACTTACCTTGCAATTGTATGGACAGTCACAATTCAGGATTGAGATTATATTCTAGAATAAATTATTTTTAAACATGATGGTGTATTGCAGCACCTCTCGTGGCTGCAGGGTTCATCCACGCAAATTGCATGAAACATCTACAAGAACAGAACAAACCTGATCATCACACGCATGGTTCAATTCAGTCACCATAAGCGCACGAATCCCTTTCAGTGGATGAATACACGTATTGTTGCACCACTGGTAGATAGACACACACGCGCACACATACCTACGGGTACATAAACAAGTACGGAGGTACCTTCATTTATTTCGACCAGGGAAAGAGTGGTTGCGATGATCTACCATTGTTATCGGTGTGCAGCCCACAGAATGCCAGCCTTACACATGTGCAATACTACTAATCGGAAATGCAAACTCTCAAAAGAGGAAATCCTTCTACTTGCATTGGCATGAGGGTTGTGGCCAGGCCACACATCTACCGAACGCTGTGAGTTATCCATTTAAATACAGCTTGTTTATCCATCGGGATTTTACAACTCAGAAGCTACTCGGCTAGTTTGAGTTGCCACAAAAAGGTCACAGCGGTTTCCTGCTTGAAAAAGTAGGGCATTGCTTATCTTCTTCACACTTCTTTGCCAGTGGCGACAATTCCACATTCCGATGCCAGCCGAGGGGGAAGGAATCTTTTTTCACGAGACCAGCTTTTTGGTGACTTCCCAAGAAGTGGAACTTGTTTTGTAAACCCCTCGCGAAAAGATGTGCTCTGGGCGGGCCCTCCGTGTAGACAGTGCGCCGCGAACGCCAGAAACGAAATGCAGCCAAGAGCGGAGAAGGCCACGGCGTTGCATTGGGGATGAAGGAAAAGCAGCGTGGGGGGCAGCGGGGTGCCTAGCCAGCCAGACGCTAACGTCCGTGCCTTCACCGAGCCAACGAGCAGACCAGACGCAAGTGCCGAGTGGTGTTTGCAGAGTGCACAGCGCCACCTGGTCGGAGCAGTTTTAAGTTGTGGCGCGTTCAACAAATGTAACTCTTTAAATTATTATAATTTTTCACCAGGTAAGACCCACTGAGCTATGTAGCTCTTTGTCAGAAATGACATGGCCACAAATGATAGCTCAACGAAGTGGCTTATCAAGTGAAAATGTATAGCAGCCAAATAAACTAAACACATGTTTATAAATGTGGGGGGGGGGGGGGGTAGGAAGACCCGGAGAAAAATCCACGTGTCCACGGGTTGAACATGTAAACGGACCTACTGCATACCAGGAGAGGGAGTTAACATCTCGCCACTGTGGTGTTGGCAGTGGTGCACAAGCACACAAAACACCAAGCCCCACATGGTCGTCTATAACAATGTGGCCTTAAAAGAAAAAATGTAGAATCGGTAACATTTATGTAAATTGTCCCTTATTCATAGCACATCGACGAGAACATCATGCGCTGTGAAAAAAGGCCGTTGCTCATAACGTAGCCGATATTATAATTACCGTTTAAAGCTATGGTGTTGTTACTCTTTGGGTCTTTCGGTAAAGTCACGTAGGTAGAAAAATTATTATAAAAAATCACGACGTTTCGATCGCAACACAAGCATGGTGTTGTTGACAAATGTGTTGAGGTTTTTTTTGGTAATGTATTCAAATTACCTTAGTCTCATGCTACACGGACACATATCCGAATGTGTCTATGTATGTTGAACTTCTTTCACACCGTACATAGCTAACCGTGATAATCGGAGGTTCGTCTGGCCCATGTAAGAGTGGTGGTGCTGGTGTTGACGCGTCAATTCCCGCCCGTGCAGTTTAGATGCCGCTGTGCGCCGAGCGCATCCGAGATGGGCTGCGGGTGGCGTAACGGTGGGGGCGCGTGTGTCGTGTGCCCTAGGTGAGGATGCTGATCAAGGATCTGGCGTTGGGGAGCTTACGGACACAGGTGAGGTATCGCAACACCCACACGCGGGGGTGGTGCCATGTCGCTGTGCGCTGATTGGTGGATACGGCATTGACGTAGTCTCAGGGATCTGCTGCGGTGGTGTAAAGGCCGCCCCTCTGGACTTAACAAAACCAGAGTCTGGTATATCAGAGGTCGTGGGTTCGATCCCAACCCTGACTCGTGTATATTTGGAGTTTGCATGTTCTCTCCGCTTGGATTTTTCTCCGGATCCTCCGGTTTTTCCCTCCACATTTTGAATCAACATGCGTTTAGAATATTTGTGGCCGCTATAGATTTCCACGTGATAACCCAATTTGCTGGACTTTCATTTGTGGCCAGGTCGCTTCTGAAAAAGAGCTATATAGCTCAGTGGGCCTTACCTGGTAAAGTAAAAAAAAAGAGTTTCGTTTCAGACGTCCTGGGTTCCATCCCATCCCATGGTGTGGCCGTTGAAACGATGGGGCAAGTTTCTCAAACTCCCCCTGCCAACTGCCGCTGTCCACCCAGCAGCGTAAAGTGTAAGGAGACCATGCGATCGGCAGGCCGAGGTGCGGTGGGGTTCAGCGTGGTGTACGCCCTCTTGTTCCACTACGTCTGGCTAACGAGGAAGAGTCGACAAAATGCCCTCTCGAGATCCCCTCATAGTGGAGGCCCTTTCTGCCGGCAGTGGCGTCGGCGAGCAAACGCAGGGCTGCACCTTTTTGCCTTTTGCAGAGTTGACACGGATACACTCGATGCCGTATTTGGCAAGACACTGGTGACTTTGAGCGGTGCGGCATAGAACGACGTATGAACAACAGTGCACTTGGACAGTGGCAGCATTTGAATGAAACCACCGCCGCCACCGCACTCGGCAGACTTGTTCGCACGATCGTGTTACGTGAGCTGGGTCCATTAGAGGAGCTCAACTGACACTCCTAATGCTGGAGGACGCTACGTCGAGGATCTGTTTTTGTTATTCCCATCACCTGGCAACCCCAGTGGACACGAACCAGATAGAGAGCGGTGGGTAGATTTTGAGGGTTCTGGCAGCAGCGGGATGCAATGTGACCTTCTGGCGATAAGCGGGAGCGGGAGCTGGAAGTGATGTCACCTTTGTCTGTCAATCGCAGTGACAATGAGACTGGGAAATTTTCCAAAGAGCAGCTTCTAGAGTCGAACATCGCACATGTTGGCGAGCCCGACGGTGGCCACAAAGCTCCCGTGTGCGGTGAGAATAATGGGTTATTTAAAGTCTCTTAGCAATCGATACACAATTAAGACATTAACGCATGTCGTATTTGCCTCTCGTTTGATTCACTGGGATGAGCACAGTGGTCACATGCCTTTAACCCAGTGCGTTAGAGGCTATAATCAGTGAATCATACAGCTTTATTAAGCTCCCACACCTGCTCGGCTGCTAGGTGGCCAGGAGATGGCAGTACAGCAAGTGGGGTTGTGAACCCATCTGTGCAAACCTTTTGAGTATTATCCCCTCGTAGGCATGGCTTTTCCCTGGGCACTGTGGTTTCTTTCCAGAACACTCCGTCGGGGCAGCAGGGTCGTGCAGAGGTCACACAGCAAGAAGTTCTAGTGCCTTTCTGAGTGGAGTCTGTTTGTTCTCTCCATATTCTGCATGGCCTTCCGGGTTCTGCAATTGCCTTTCATAGCTTAACATCAAACAAAGTAACTGGTATTAGCCAAACATCCCAATGCTGAAACATTTAGTTGCAAATTACTCAACTGGGATCACACAGCAGCAAAATCACCCGCGACTGTGCAAACTTGGCAGGACCGTCTGTAAAAAGGGTCCAGGATAAGCAAGCGTCACAACAATACAAAATATTGATAATTGGTGAAAGAATGCAAGCATGAACATTTTAAACCAAGGCTACTCATCCGAAGCACTGTTAAGTTTCTCCAGCATTTGCAATTACACTTGGACGTCTTGCTGCAGCCGAAAGCGAGCGGTGAATTCTTCGGTGGGGAACCTCTCGATGCATTCACGTAAATCGTTAGAAAAATGTAAACGTTCCCCACGTTAAACGTATACACCGCGGTTGCCATCTGGCTCATCTCTTGAAAATGGATCTCAACTCCTGCTTGTACACCACCCTGCCATGTAGGAATCCGATGTCGAGGATGACTATGACACTTGCTTGTGAACATCCCTCCACAGGATCGCATGCCCAAAAGTCACACGTACTTGACACCTCCCTGAACCTGCCCACTACGTTACATCTGCTGACATGCATTTTACTTCTACATTTGCGTAGGAGTAAGAAACTTGGACTTTATTCTGACTGCAGCAGAGCGCGTAACGCTTCAGGGAGTTACCCCGTTCAGGCGCCGCCCCGAACTCTGTCTCCTTGTATCCTCGTCCCTGTCCTTTCGTGAACTTTCCCCGACTCTTTACCGACTCTCCAACGATCCCCTTCATCTCTTCCAACGGTCTCACAACCGACCCCTCATTTGCATTTGGTCCCCCCCCCCCGTGCTCATTCGAATTCATCTAGACGACCATCGGATTTGAGTGGTTCTCCACCTTCCAATCGGATCGAGTGCCCAACGTCGGCTCCTCCCCCTGTGACAGCTCCTCACCAATGAGAGTCGGGCGCGTGACTTTGAACTCACGAGCCATTAGACTCGTCGAGTATTTATTTATTAATAGGGTCCCTTAGACATTTCTATACTGAAATGGCTTTGCTGTTTTTATGGCAACTTGGGCAACGATAAACGAGCCCTACCCTGGGCCAGCCGAGCTCATGGTTTGATTCTCTTCGCTCTCGGTCGCTTACCTGGCATGCTGTTGTTGCTGAAGTGAGCCGCCCGCCATCAAATAGACGGCGGAAAAAAAACCTCGTGACAAGATCAGACCTCTGTTGCTCATGCATAGTCGTTCACATACGTCTCTAATGACCTTCAGCTTGAACTACGACATCGTAACCGTCACCTGTGCGACTGTAGTTCGTGTTGTGAGAGGCAACAGCCCACTGTGCTCTAGTTTACTTAAATTAAGTACCCATTTTTTTATTCACTTTTTTATACCTGACTTCGTTTTAAATGTAGAAATGTTCACCATTTCATTCAAATTTCATGCAGATCCCGCCATGATTCCCTCGGTCCAGTCTAGGACGTCCGACTCGGCTTTCTTGACCACGATGCTCTTTGACTTAAGTCATCTTGTCATCCAGCAGACAGCCTGGCGTTGTAAGAACGTCACAGAATTCCAAACGTAAGGAATGATCACTGACTCCTCTTGGTTGCCGCCTTGTGGGTGCCACCGTGCAGTCTGCCCTTCCCGCGTGGCACACGTAAATTAGGCGCGATGTGCATTGACGTTTTTCTATCGCATGTTCAAATATAAAATGCACCGCGCAGGTGCTCCTGGAATTAAACGTCTCGCGCCAATGTGAGGTCCTCCCACGGAGCAAGCGGCAGCGACGAAAGCGAACGCGGAGCCCCGAAGCATCGGTTCCCAGGCCTGCTTCTCTCCGTTGACCCGGCGTCAGTCCCAGCGTGGCTCGCAGACTTCCCACAACAAATAAACTTTGGCTGCGAGAGCCCCGTTCTCAAGTTCGGATGGGAAGGCTGCGGCAGATGCCCGGCTCTTATGACTTCAGCGTCCGCCCCCCCCTCCACCACTGCCTCCTCCTCAAAGCACAGCTGCATATGTGAAGCCTCCCTCGGGCGCTCGCCTCTTGGTGCCCTGTGGGTTCCCTTCGACGACACGCGAAATGCCCGAGCTGGTGCGATCTTCTTATCGGTCACAGCGATGACTGGCCCGCATATGTTTTTATTTTCGTAACTTGACAGTGCGTCATATGAAACCATTCTGCCTGAAAATGAACGGGAGGCGCTTAGGCTTTGGACGTGACAAATCCCCCACGTGCGACACCGTACGAGCGCGCGTCCGAAGCGCGACGGGCCGCGGTGCAAGTGTTGGCCTCGCATCGCGATCGCTCGGCGCACGGCTTCCGTTGTTGCGCAGTGTGCTGAGATGCAAGAGCAGGAACGGTCATTCTCTGAAGTAGAGACGTTATCAGAATATGTATTTACACTGGAGGAGGAATCCAATGAGCTATAAAGCTCTATTTCACAGATGTCCAGTACGGACACGGGGTAAGAACTATACAACAACAAACAACACAAAACACGATAGGAGTGCAAAGGAGAAGAAAGGTAAACAAATCTCCCAATCACTTACAAATACAGCACTCAACCATCCCCATCCTACCAGACAAAGCCCACTGAGGCATACACTTATTTTTCAAAAGCGACCTGGCCACTAATGATAGCTCTACAAAGTGGCTTGTCATTTCAACATCTCAATGATGTGCGCAATGAACAACCACGAGCTGCCGAGGCTAAAATGAGTCACATCATGGACTTGCCGGATTTTAGTGGCAATGTCCAAGGCTGAAAGATGCAGTTTTAGGAAACCTTTTGGATAATTCCCATTGCAAGATAAATGCAGAATATCGTTCATAATTTAGCATATATGCCATTTGTGCCATTCCTATAGCGCGAGGCTATCATCACGAAGCAAGGCGCTGTTGTCTTTCACGGACACTGCTGTAGTTTTGACAATAGGGAGCAATGTTGCTACATGGTATCCCAACTTCACGGGATCTGTAATGTCCACTGTCATGCAGATGGCGTGCATTTTATGGTCAGTACACCGCAATGATAACCAGGGCGGCCCGACAGGTTTGAACTGAAGCGGCAAACGGGCTCCCGCGGGGCACGTCACCGCCCCAGTGTAGAATTCGTGCCGCAGGGATTCCGTGCCTCTCTTTGTCTGTCCTGTGGGTGCTGGAGTGTGTCTCGGGCACACGCCAGTGTACGGGTGTCTTATTAGCTGAAAAATAATAAATAATCATCCTTGTAAAAGCAACTGTAACCCTTCCAGAGTGTGTGCACGTGCGTGCGTGAATTCCTCTCAGTAAGGTGGAACCCATTTAGTGTGCCACAGGGTGAACTTTAAGGACGCAGAAATTGTAAGAGGTGAAATGTGACAACGACTTGTCACGCTGCAGGCCATGAAACAATATGACAGGACTGACTTGGAACTTGACGACTTCTGACCACCGGCTCCGTGTACAATGCGGCATGCCGGCTATGAGACACGTGGTAATCGCTGTCACCCGCGGTGAGCAGATTGAGTGTAGCACTCTGAAGAATCCAGCTGTACCGTTGGATCAAAAAATTGCGATCTGTGACGTTAACGAGATGGAGTTTTGTTTGACGGAGTTCCCTTTTTACGCTGGGGCGTCTCGGAGCGCTTTGCACGCGTAGGCAACTTACATCAAATCTCACCTCAGCCACTTGAAAGGGCACCCACAGTGGCAGCTGTCCCCGTGCAGCGCGAGGTGACTCGGCACGTGGCCTCCAAGCGGACGTCAGTCTGCCAGTAGGGGGCGATGATTGCTCCGTGTGATCCCAGTCTGTCTGCACGCTGCACGACCGACCAAGTGTAGGTTTACGTGAATGTTTACATATGTACCTTTGGTTTCACATATGTAACTTTTGGAGTGATTTATTGTCCGGGATATTTGTATGTATATATGTAAGGGATGCATCAATCAATATAATTAACACAACACCCAGAGGGCATCGAAGGATCGTGCACCACCAACGGCAAGCCAAGAGGGGCCTCCTTGTATGGTCAAAAGCTTTTTACAGCTGTGGTCATAACCATATATTTATATAGCAGTCACGAAAACCTCACAGCGACACCCCGCGCTAAGAATCTCCACCGCTGTATACTACAAGTCAGCTTATGTGTGTGTGTATATATATGTGTCTTTGGGGAGCGGTAGTGTCGTGTTTAGCACACTGCGCTACGAATCCAGCAACCCGGGTTCGATTCCCACTCACGGCCAACGCCAGTGACGAATATCTTTACCGGTCCTGGGCCTCCCCTAAGTCGACTCAGCCTCCTCAAATGAGTACCTGGTGTGGTGTGTAAATATCGCCACTAGGGAGACAAACGCGGTCGGGCGTGGTGCTGGCCACACACAAACCTCTCGTGTTTCATCCCATAGCCCCATAATAATAATAATAATCGCACAATTTAACTGGTATTAGTCAAACATCCCAGCGTCAAAAAAAATTACCTGCAAATTACTCAGCCCCCTACTTCCAAAAGCCTGGCAGTACCCTGCAAAAAATAGTTCTGTGCGACTTTCCTTGGATAGCGCTAGTAATAATCATGGACACACCAGCACTCGGGAGACCAAGGTGGCTGTCCGCTAACTGCACAGGCAGAATTCTGGCCATAGCATGCCCCCTTATGTGTGGCGTGGCCTGAGTAGGAGCTCGCTCGGGGAAACTTGCCCCCTTTAGTCTGCTATGCTACACCGGGGATCTTTGTCTTTGTTGCCGCGTGTGCGCAGAGCTTTGCACGCTGTTACCGGACAAGGGCCCTTGCAAGAGCCGCTTGCAGCGCTGGTTCTACAACCCCAAGAAGCACGGCTGCGAGCAGTTTGAATACGGCGGGTGCCTCGGGAATCAGAACAACTTCGTCACCATCCTGGAGTGCCTCAAGCGCTGCGCCTCGGTGCCAGGAGGTGAGCACGGTAGCAGGGTCTCTTTAAGACGAATGTTTACGCGCCGGCATCAATCACCTTTACACTTTGTATCCTCCTTCATGGCACTGTTTGGTTCGAGAATAATTAACTCAAACGGGGTAGTTAATGTCGTGGTGCGGATCTGCCCCACTTCCTGGCGAACTTTGGCACGTCGGCAGTTCACCGCATTTCCCAGGGCACACTTCTTCTGCGCAAGGGGCCCTTGCGCACGTGGCGAGACGTTTAGTGCCAGGAGGACGTCAGCACGCGGCGGGGAGTCGCGCAGCGACCAGAATACTTTGCACCGCCGCCTCTGCCTGAGCCGTGACAGCTCTTCCCTGCCCTTCAGCACGGGAGATGCTGCTACTGCCGCTGCGGCACGGGTGGCAGCACCGCGAGGCGGTCTTATCGACACGGCAAGAGGCCCCGGTCGTGATCACAGGGGTCGGCGGTCCTCTAGCCGTGCCCTTTGCGCCTCACGTGACCTCGCCGAGATTTTGGGTGTCGTTTTAGGTTTCTAATTTTGCGATGTTGTTCAAAAGCGCTTGCGATTGGTTGGAATGTAGACACATGGGTGTCAGGCCAATGGCAAGAAGCGTTTCTCTGTGGTGAAAAACCCAATTGTGACTCAAAAAACACATTGCAACATTTCTGGAAGGGAGGTGTACGATCGTTTTATCAAAGAAAGTGACTGCTTTCTTCAACATGTTACTTGTCCATCATCTGCTAAGTTCATTCTGTGGGCTGGTATGCAGTCTGTTATAGCCGTCTTTAGTTGAGCAGTTTACAACCTGTGCTGTGTGGATAGAATGGTTTCATAAAATGGGATAAAAATCTACTTTAACTCATGACCACAAACCACATTTGGGGCACCAAACATTTATGATCGTGAGAATCATTATACTGTGTATAATTACTCAACAAAACTGCGGCACTGTCCATAAATGTATCATAAATTATTCAAGCAGTTTAATTCGGCAGCATGTACTACAGCGGCACCATTAGCACTGTCAAAGACAAAGATCCCCCGTGTAGCCTGAACAGACTGGTGGGGCAAGTGTCGTTAGCGAGCACCTACTAAGGCCGGCACGGCACACGAGGGGGTGGGTAGCCAACACCACGCCCGGCAGCCTTTGTCTCCCCAGTGGCGATGTTTTTACACACCGCACCAGGTACACATTTGAGACTGAGTTGACCTAGGGGAGGGCCCAGGACCGGTTCAAATAATTGTCACCGGTGTTGGCTGTGAGCGGGAATCGGACTCGGGTCGCCGGGTTTGTCTGTGGAGCGCGCTCACCGCTACGCTGTCGCTCCCCATCATCACTGACACTGTATGCACACACACACGCACACACGCACGCACAACAACAACAACAACAACCGCCATTCGCCACTAAGTGGCGGTGACGTCACCACGATGCTTGTGCCAGGCCAAGTGCACCTTGAGGCCACGTGAAGTGTCGAAAGCCCGCTGGCAGGAGGTCACGGGGCAGACCCAGGTGCCACTGGTCGACTGACCGAGATGACCGAGATGACTGGCTGATGCACCACCTGTGCCCCCTACTGTGCCAACTTGCTGTGCTTTAGCCACCCGGCGCTCCGCTCGTTGTTGTGAGCGTCGCTCCTCCGCCCTCCGTTGTTGTTGGAGGGCGACTGCCTCCAACTGCCCAGTAGCGTCCTTCACGAGCCTCCTCCACTGAGGCCGATCTTGACACCGCTGGTACCAGTCATCGGCAAGTCCACTCAGCTCCACGTCCTCCTGTACCACATCACTCCATCTCTTCTCCAGCCCGTGCCGCGCCCGTCTAGCCCCCTCGATCCGGCCGAACAAAAGCTGTTTAGGCATGCGGTGGCTGGGCATGCGGGCTACATGACCCAGCCAACGCAGCCTTGCCTGCCGGAGGAGCTCACTGATGGGACTTTGCCCAGATCTTTCAAGGATTTGTGAGCTCCTCACACAATCCAGCCATGGTTAAACCCAGGATGGATCGTAGGCAGGCCAGCCTAAATGTTTCCAACCGGCGAAGATGCTCCACCAGGGGGGTCCACGTCTCGCAAGCGTAGAGAAGGGAGGGAATGACCGTGGCCGAGAAGACCTGAAGCTTCGTGCGGAGCGACAGACCAGGTAGCTTCCACACAGCGTTACGCAACCGATGAAAAGATATTGCCGCTCGACTGATTCGGAGTGAGACCTCTGCTGATAGACTGGAGCCGGTCATAAGCATACTGCCCAGGTATGGGAAACTCTCCACTCTCTCCACAACTGCCCCATCACCAATTGGGAGTTGTGGGGGTGGAGTGTCCGATGGTACAAAATACCCAGGCAGGTGCTTGGTTTTGGTGGGGCTGATGGTAAGGCCCCACCTCTTAGTGGCACGCTCCAGTCTCAGCAGCAGCGCCTCCAACTCCTCTTCTGAATGAGCAGCTATTACCAAATCATCGGCATACATAACGTGGTTGACCAATAGGGAGCCATCCCTTGATCGCACCCGGGCGTCGATCAGCCTCCCATTATATCTGTACCAAACGGAAATTCCCCCGGTACAGCTATTGAAGGCTTCACGAACTACGCGGTCAAAATAGATGTTAAATAATGTGGGAGCCAGAGGACATCCCTGTCGCACCCCAAGGTGTACAGGGAAAGGCTCCGACTCCCGGCCACGTAGTTTTACCCGGGCCCGCTCACCATCATGAAGGTCCTTAATGATCGTGAGCAGAGGGTCAGGGACTCCGAAAGCACGAAGAACAACCCAGAGTCCAGTCCTACTGATGGTATCATAGGCCTTGACCAGGTCAATAAAGCAGAGATGTAGGTCTTTTTGGAATTCCCTACACCTCTGCTGTAGCAGACGGACAGAAAATATGGCATCTGTGCAGGACCGCCCTTTCCTGAAACCGCATTGGGGCTCCGCAAGCCCCTCCTCAGCGTGCCTAGCAAGGCGATGTTGAATAATCCTTGCCAGGACCTTACCCGGCACACTGAGGAGTGAGATGCCCCTGTAGTTGTTACAGTCTGTGCGGTCCCCCTTCTTAAAGAGGGGGACCACCAGGGCATCCTTCCAGTCCTGCGGAACCCGTCCAGTGGTCCAGACTGTTGTTATGATGTCATATAGGGCAGTCTGTGCACAAACGCCACCCTCCCTCAGCATTTCGCTTGGGAGATCATCTCTGCCCGGTGCCTTCCCTGGTCTCAGACTCCGGATCGCCCTCAGTACTTCCTCAACAGCTGGAACCTCAGCCAGCCACTCACAGGGGGTGACCTCTTCCAATATTTGAGGCACCGCAGCCTCAGCAGGGTTATCCCCACTTTGTGCCATGATGTTTTCCTGGCTGAGAGAATTTCCCTCCCCCAGGACCTCACAGAAATGCTCAGAAAATCTGCAAACCTGTTCCTGGGGGTCGGAGATTGGATCACCGTTTTTTCCTCTAATGATGGTAATAGGTGTGGCGCTGCAGGTTACTTTTTTGATGGAGTTAAATAGTGATTTGTGATCACGGGCCACTGAGGCAGACTCCATCTCCTCAGCAATCCGCGACCACCACCCATCCTTACAACGCCTTACGGCTCTCCGAACTTCCGAGCGAAGGCTGCGGTAAACCTCCTCATTCTCTGACGTGGGATGCTGTAGGCGATGAGAGTGGGCCTGTCGCTTTTTCTCAATTAACCTGAACACCTCCTCTGTCAGCCAGGGTTTCTGGGGAGGTCTGGACCGCGTACCCAAAGCAGCCATTGCAGCTGCATGAGTCACAGTCTTAAACCTCGCCCATTTACCCTCGACATCAGGTGGAGTGGGGGACGATGCCAACCCCAGCTGCAAGCGATGATGAAATTCTCGCTTGCAACTTTCATCAGCGGTGCCGGACGGGCAACACTGTCGTGGACATTGCTGTGGGGGGAGGGCCAATGCCCATTGGCCTCTCCCCTCATGGCGTCTGTGACCACCACAGTGGCTAAACGGGGGCTCTGGACGGGTGTGAGGGGCTGGTAACCCCTCCACCTTCAATTCATTACCACTAAACCACGAATTAAACGCACGCACACACACATACACACACGCATACACACACGCATACACACACGCATACACACACGCATACACACACACATACACACACGCATACACACACGCATACACACACGCATACACACACATACACACACACACGCACACACGCGCGTAGTCGTGTGAAGGTTTTATGGGAAACCTCATCTCTCAATATCTCAGCATGTTCGCCGTGGCAGCGGTTGGCACGCGTCGTACTTTTTGAGAGTCTCAGGTGGGCCCCAGCATCTCGGCTGTGACCGTCTCAAATACTCTGGCTAGGCGCTGTTGCAGATGGACTCAAGATTTTAACATAGGAACCTGTTGCCAATATTTCAACGACCCTGTTGAATCCGCCGTGTAAATTATAATGGCTTCACGATAGACGCTGCCTTCATGGGTATCCTGCCAGTCATGGTCTGAGGCTAATTTAAAGAACATAGATTTCTATTTGAAGCTTTCAGGACTGCAGGAATCCATACTCTTTGGTTCTTTCGGTAAAGTCATGTAGGTAGAAAAATAAAATATAAAATAATATATCACGACGTTTCGATCGCAACACAAGCGGTCGTCCTCAGGTCGTCCTCCATGACTTTACCGAAAGAACCAAAGAATATGAACATAGATTTATCACTATTTATTGTACATGTTTTGTATACGTGATGTTTTCTCGGACAGTAAATTGGTATTAACGTATTCAATGTAAGCGATTATAAGAGGCGCAGCCGGTACCGCATGCAGTTAACATTTTGAAGCCAGTGGTACATTCCTCAAAAGTTTACGCGATTCTGTGCGCATCAGTGTTCTTGCCAGAGAGCGGTCCCAGGCTCCATCTCCTTCATGCTGCTCGATCATCCACTGCCCTCTTCATTCGTCGTCCGTACATCCTTCCTTGCTTAACGTCGTCCGGCATCGCCGTCATTTTCCTTCCTCTTCGTGTTTTATCCAAATTAACTT